CCCTCGCTGCCATCGGTCTTAGGAGGCTCTTAAATATGACCTCGCCTCTCCTCACTCCGACTGCTTCCCTCGCCAGTAGTATTAAAGGACGAATTCACGCTGGAAAAGGCAACCCATTTCAAATTAACTAGGGATGGTGAGTGGTACACGAAAGAAGGAAGAACCATGAGAAACGGCCCAGAACCCGAGAAATGGGACCCCTTCCTTGCCCGTTGATTTGAGCATTGATGCGACTCTCATCGCTGTGCCCTCTTCAACACTACGCTCTCTCTGCTATCTAATCACTCGCCACGTATAGACTGCGGCGAGTGATCAGATGATCGGTGGGCGGAGATCGCCGGACCCGCCAACTTTGAGGCATGATAGGTCGCCGAGGTCAAATTTTTCGATGCGAATTGCGCATCAGTTCGCACCCTCAGGAGGTCCGTGGGTCCCTCAACTAGGTCAATTACTTTTCTTCGACCTCCATTCTAATCGTGAAATCCTCCTTTAAAGTATTTCTGTAGAATTTCATTGTGAAAACACGTACGCACATTTCCAAAGATCTGCGATCACTTCCTCCCCCCCATCATCAGTCATAGGAGCCATCTTTTTAAATACGATACCCTTCTTCCCCAATCCTTCCCCTTACATCATCCTCTCCTTGCAGTCACACAACGAATTTTTTGTGAAAAGCAGACCAACAATTTTCGGACGATGAAGTGCATAGTCAATGGTCTCCATTGAGGAACGGCATTCCTGTACATCGGCTCCACTTCACATAAGATAATCTGATGATATTGATAAGGTTTTCGTTTAGGTTCGATCTCAACTGAGATTCGATACATCTACTCATGGGCGCCCTAGAAGACGAGCCTTCGCCAATATCAGATAATTTTCAGCAGAAATAAACTCCTTTGCATAGCTATTATTAGTGATACCTAACAACTAGTAAAGGTAATGAGCTTAATTGCATTTTAAAGAGCACATTCTGTTGTCAAAAACTTTACATAAGGGCTTTCTACACCGACGACATCAGAAGATTTTCCCACGGAAACATGGTTCGCGGTACGAGCTCAACGAGGTCGTCGAGAAACCATAGACGATTACGACGTCTCTGAAACGCTGGTCAAAAGCCATCTTGCATAGTCAGAGCTAGTGTCTCTAAGAAGCCATTCACCAGTTATCCGATTGAAGAAATTATGTAGCAGCTTCAGAATGGAGCGATTATGGTAGGCCTCCTTGAGCTCGACGGTGATGACAGATGACGTCATATTCTGGAGGCAGCGAAGGTGGGCCTGATTCTGCTTATGGGGGACATCTAAGGAATATTTCGCCGTATAACTCCCAATAACAGCGGCATCCTTTGCGACGAAAAGTTTGATGATATGCGCCATAATCAAAGTGACTCTTTTTTTGCCCCCCCCCCCTGTACATTATTTATCTTACAATTAGGACAGCTATACACTTAAAGGCACGGGTCGCGGTCGTATTCCCTCTCAAATGTGATAGGGATGCGAGTGTGGGCTGCAAGAGAAAAAAAGGAAGAAAAGGTCAAAAAACAAAATCATGAGCGTTCTTCCTCTACGCTGCAGAAAAGTTCAAGACGCAAGTGTTTCAAAAATTAGACAATATGCTGAAGATCGTGAATTAGGGGGAGACAGAAAAATTGGAATTTTCCGCATGAATTCGGCCGTGGTTCACATAGAGACACAGCGCTGCAAGGAGAGCGAATACGCGAGAGATTGCTGCATGAGAGGGCGCAAACGCCACGTATGGCGCGATTGATGCAGCGGCAACGTCGGCAGCGAACAAGGCGAGGCCCTACCAGGAAGGTCTTTCAGGGAGTGCCGAGCTCTTTCAAAAGGTCTTTTGCATGATGTAAGAGCACTTGCGGAAACCACAGAACGGTTAATTTTTCCTAAACGGCTCTGTGAATATCGAAAAGAGGGGGCTCCTGGTTGAAAAGGCAAGTTTTAAATGCTCCTGTAGCGGACCTCGATTTTTTACACGATTGCTCCAATAAAAACTAGATCTTGCTATACTCATGTCCTGTACTTATTTCTCCTGCATTTTTTTGTTCAAGAAAATACAGAGATCACGAAACGGGGAATAAAACGAACTGAAGGACTTATGGGAGCTCACTAAAGTAAAGACCCATCACTCAACCATACCGTTTAGTCACGTTGTGATGCGATCTGTAGATCAAATGCAAAAAGCTAGAAAAGAAGTAGCGCATGCGCGAAAAATAAACTATCAGGTGGGCAAAGCGCATGCGCTGCACATGGTCGGCGCCTCCACACTCCCAGTCAAATTTGGTACCGATTACCCTACGCAGGAGAGATGAAAGCTTGGTTAGCATGATCTTAATTAGCACGACCTAGGTTTCGACCCCCGACCGCGTATGGTAAGCAGCGCGACTTGCCACTACTGTCAACTCTATTTTATCATTTTCGATGTAAAGCCTAGAAAAGTAGTGTCCAGTTGTCCATAAGTTCTGCAAATTGTCGAACTCACATCAAACACGACTGCAACTTTCATTGCGAACTCGACTTGCTATCCTCATTATCTGTTGCAGTGTGTTTCATTATGGGGTACACGTTATTTCTGGACTCACACCATTCCAGAATATCATATTTATCCAGTTGCCACTGTGTATGCACATACCATCGAGAGGAAAAAAGTGTGTAGCACGAGAGCGTTGGGCTTTGAGCAATTCCCCAGGAGGAAATCGAATACCGCACTTCTCGCTTTCCGAGCTGCTAGGCCACCGATACACAAGGCACCAATGAACAGGCTCATCACGGTATACGTGTGATACTGATAAGCTGTGCTGATCGCGCCATCAAAAGCTGGATTAGTTTGAAGCAGGGTGTAATTCGGTCGTGGGTTTGTCTACAACTCGTTGAGGATTTTCGTCTCTTTCATCACACTCCTCCCCGCGCGTGCACACAATCTCGCTCTGCGCGAGCTGTCTGTGCTCTGCGGACAGACAGCTCGCACGACGTTCTGCGCGCGTACGATCACTCTCGACACACAGTACATCTCGAGGATTTCTCGACTCAGCTGAAGTGTAATGCGATGAGCTGGTTCACCGGTGCCATCGCTGGGGTCTAATCGGTAGCACATCTGTGCAGGATGTGTGTGCGGGGTTATATTACCGCCTGAGGCGGAAAGTTCTACCCGTAACTTTTTTGTGACAACTTAATGGCGAACAGCAAAAAAACAGCAGTTAGCAATCAAAAGCGATGTGTAGCGTCTAAGTGCGTAGTCACCGCCTTCCGTACCCACGCAAAACTGTTGACATCTTCCTCTCCTATAATTTGAGAAGCTTGTATGTTTTGATGAAATAAGTCTTAAATGGCTTTGCTGCATTCTTGCGTTGGATGCTAGGAAACACAGTTTTAAGCTAACGAATTCCTGTAATCACTTACACATTTATACCCAGTAAAAAGGCGTAATTCCTGTAATTTGTATGTAATTCGTGATTTTGTGACCACCCCTCTAAAGGGTCCCAAAGCCTAACCGCCACTACTACCGGTCTTATGTATAGGATACTCCCAATATGACCTATGTACATCGTTCCACCCCCCCCCCGTCATGGCTTTTTTATTATTCGAGAGTATTTGATTCCGAGACCACTCGACACGGCCAACTCCGCCCACTTCCTCCTCCAAAACAGCAATCGAGAAGGGGGGGGGGGGGGGGGGGGGGGGGGGGGGGGGGAGAATGGCCTGATGCGGCGATCAATTTTGTCAACTATTACCTCCTCTGGCAGAACTTGCCCTTTCTCCTAAACCAGTAATCAGCCAGTTAAACCAATTTTACGGGGCGATTTTGGGCAGAGGTACTTGATTACTCAACAAATGCGACCGTCTCTTTCACCACAAGTGCGACCCCCCCCCTCTCGTTGGAATAGTGCGAACGGACAGCTTACTGTGGAAGGGTGTGTCGTTACTGATCTGTACGGTATGCGTTGGGCGCCTGCTCGCTGTCGGCTGGGGTACCCCCCGATGCAGGCTCGCGCGGCAAGAGCACGAGCTGCCGTGACGGTCGCAGCGACTGTAGCAATGTAGTGACGTACTAATGAGCCATTTTAATTGTTAACTTGACGCAAATCCTAAGTACGCGCGAAACTCGTCCCCTGACTCGCCTTCTTTGTCGCGCGACGGGCCTCCTCGGGGGTACCCCTGTCGCTGTGCGATCGAACAATCGCCAAGTCTCACATCCACCTAACGAATCCCAACTTCTAATATTAAACCATGTCAAAATATGACAGCTCTCGCCATCGCTGTGCTTCCAAATAGAGCTTTTAAGAAGATAAGGGCAATCGATTACCGAAATAGCCACCAGCAACCCATGTCTACTTTTAATTCAGCACATGGGATCGTGGACTTCTCATAAATGGCACCGTGAAATTGTCCGGTAATGAAGATGTCGACAAATGCAAGCTGTTCAAGGATTTCGCTGCTCAGGAAACTTGGGAGATCCAAAGGGAGCACATGGCAAAGAGAAGATGTTCAAAAGTCCACTGTGAAAAAAAGGCAACAGAGAGCGGGCTGTGAGCACGATCAGCTATTGGGCTATTGCAGGTTGAAGGGGTAATATTCCAGGTTGAAGGGGAAGGGAGAAAGTGGGCATATTTGATCTTCTTGTTTTTTGTTCTCAAATGAGGGTTGTATTTGGTGGAATGGAGATTAAATTTGTTCTGAGGAAGGGAAATTTCTCGCCCCATTCTTTTACCCTCATCCATATGAGATCTTTCTCGAGAAGAGGGTGAGATGTCTTGCAGAGGTTGGAAATCCCACAGGGCTGTGATGGCAACTCATGGGCTGTTTTGGCCCGGTCGAGTGTAAACGTTTCTCCTGAATGCTTGTCCAAGCAAGTGTCCGTAGTTGACTCTTCTCTTCAGCCACCCCTCCCTCGTTCCCTCCCTGTATAATTCTCGGCTTCGGTAATCAGGAAGGGGTTGAAGGCTGTTCGAATTGAATAAACAATAATACGATGGAAAAAAATTTCAGGTCAAGGCGAACGGAGGGCGAATCGACAAACTGAAAGTTGCCGATGACTTTGCACTGTTGGATCCTTGCAAGTTAGTGATGGTCCAGTTGTTCCTTTCTGAGCAAGATCCAGAAATCGAATCGATAAGCCATTTTAAACAACTGATTGGTCTTAAGGGTCGAAGACCAGGTTTACGGTACCTCATGCGGGACGATGTTCTGTAATGAAGCGCTCGGAGAGGAATGTATCGCTGGAAAATTGTGTGGATGCCCGAAGGGACAGAAGCGAAAGGATGCACAGAGCCCTTGTCGCGTGGTAAGAGACATGTTTATTATTTTGATTTTTTACATAATTCAGTCATGCTGGTCCTAGGTGGAATCCTTCAATCTGCCGCTTTACGTCATACGAGACGGTAATAATCCACTGAAATATACGCCAGGTCTTGCTAACCCGCGAGATGACAGACATAAGGAACTGGTGGAAAGGTGAGAGGATCTCCTAAGGGGGCCGATCAGCTTCTTGATCATCTTCAGTAATCGTTTGTTCTTAGGTTCGAGTCTGGAGTTGGTCAGAGCTACGACAAGACACCTCTCAAAACGGATTCGTTTCTGTCGAAGTAAATGACATCGAGGAGCCGTCGCTGCGAAACGCGGTGAGTATCCTTAGATTCTCTTACTCAAGTTGCTATTATTGTGAAATTGTGATGGGTGGAAGTAGTGTGAATTGGAAATTAGCGAAGGACTTGAAACTTACCTGCTGCGGCTTGCACCAACATCGATGATTAGTAGAGAGATCTCCACGATTCTCGCTGCTAATGGACGATGTCAGCCTCTCGCGGTTGCGGTCTTGGGTAGCGGATCGCTCAATTGGCTGGTAACGCAACGCGACCGCGGACGCTAGCGAATAGCTAGTAGAGAATCGGTCGATTCGCGAAGCTTGATATCGGCCATTCAGTGCGACTCTTACGGCCCTCCGCGGGCTTAAGATCCTCCCCCGTTGGCACATTTACAAATGGACCATTGATACTGATTATATTTAGATTAGTGACAAACGGCGCCGCCTATGACACGCTCATGGTGCGGAGTTGAATTTTGTATTGACCTGACCTGCCGTGAGCTATTCCGATTTTCGAGTCGTGGCAAAATCGTGGAGTCTGCGTCTTCTCAATCCCGTGGTCTTTT